GAACAGACTTTTTCCGCGAGAACAAGTTCTTTTTCAGAAAGACGACACATTTTAAAAGGGACCCTTTCGAGATTTCCATCAAAGCTTGAATTTGAAGTTATGACATTAATTCCAGATTTCAGTACAAGTACGGCAGAATTACTGTCAAACAATCACGTGACATGTTATAGTTCTTTCTGTTACAACTGTATGCTTTTATCACAACATTTGGAGTTCGTAGGTTTATTTTTATGCTGCAGAGCAGAAATGTCAACATTTGACAATGGTTACTGCTGCTTAGACAAGGCTATCTGAACAAGGATATAATGAGCTTCTGTTCTTGTCTTTTTTATTTGTTATATTATACATGACATTATCAGATAACAAGTTCCTACAATCAACGTTCCCGGATATATCTATATTCCGGAAGTGTGTAGAGTAGATTTTTCATTAGCCTTTAGAAACAGCTCTCTGCTTTACACTATCAAACAAAATATATGTAATGATGGGATAGAAAATTGAACCAATTATTAAACTTTTTCTCCTGGAAATTTTCTCTTTAGATTTGCTCCGAGATTTTTCTTCCTAGAGATGTTGGTTCATTGTGGAGAACGTTTAGAGTTAAGAGATCATGGATAATACCAAACGTTGATAACACACTTTTTCAACCATTTCAATGTTGTTTTCAGAGAAACCTGTCCCATACTTCACAAGAGTAAGACTGTTATACAGCCGTTTCAAGTAATGCACGAGATCGTCTGAAACGTAATAAGAGTTTGACAGTTGTGTAGTCGTCTTAGTGTATGTCACAGAGGGAATCGCCCGACGCTCAACATTATTAAGACAGCTGTATAACACTTGTATTGTTATTTCAATGTAGGTCAGGTCACAAAGAGAGTTCCTCGACTCTCAACGTAAGTAAAACAATTGTGTTGACATTTTATCATACAAATATTTAATACCTGGTATTGCAATAAATTAGATGTGGTCAACAACAAAGTGAGAATTGTAATTCTTTATCATCTTGACTTATTAGCGTCTATTTCTTGCTATATGGTGTTGATCTGTTGTTACTAGATTCACATTAAAATAAGTGTACTAGACTTGGTATCATAACATTTTGTTTTAGTGTAGTGTACATGTATAAAACATTAGTGTACTAGACTTGGTATCATAACATTTTGTTTTAGTGTAGTGTATATGCATAAAAAAGTAGATGTTACACATGTTTCCTACTTCCTCATAGGTGGGATCATAATCACGTGGAGGTCGAGGATTCGTGATATTGACTCGCTGTTACTATTTTAAGAAACAGCAGTTCATAATTCACTTAATGGCGTCATTTCAATTGGAACTTCACAATGCTCTTTGCCAATTGCAGTACTTTCCTCTTGACAACTTCAACTTTCTTACTTTCATTCTTGTTTATTGATTAAAACATTATTGGGCATCTAATATAACAATTTAAGACTTTTGATGGGATGAATGTGTGATTATATTAACCGGAGAAAGTGATAATGACCTCGAATAAATGTTCATAATTGATAATTGTCATCACTAATTGATCGGTAATATAAAGTGACTTGATTTTTAAAAAAAAGTATATATTATGTGATTTTAAATATGTCAACGTATGCATACACTTACATTGAATATAATAAAACTCAATCTCAACCATGATAACATCTTCGCATGCAATAAACATATGAAACATGTTTTATTTGGTCCTAAATATATATGACAGATATAAAATCAATTTATTGAATTATCACATGTTAGTACAGGTTCACATATAGAAATGTTTCCTATGACCGTTTGGGTTTCTTATTTAGCGTTTTTTTGTATAAATTGTATATGTAGCTCCTACTACCACCGTACCACCTCCCAGCTTGCGGTGCCATGAGAAAATCGTCTATGACAATGGCGTCATCGTACCATAATAACTGCATGTGGGTGGCCACAACAAAGTCCTCGACGGTGCATTCGTTCTCTCCTCGGGCGATTTTAAAGTAACCATTTTCACCCCAGTTGTCTCCCCATGAGTTGGCACATATCTGAAAAGCCATAGACTGCACTGTACACTGACTGGAAATGTCGTGTTAGTTTGATTGTGTACATGCCAATGTCCACTACACATTTTATGTGTTACTTGACCAGGTATTAATTTTTCACATGTTAATATTTGTAGCATATTTTGAAGTTGAAGCATGCGAAGCTTATTACGATATTATTTGCTTGGTGTGTGTGTGATGTTAGTATACACTGAGAAAGCTATACTGATTACGTCTCTGTTATTATGATTTAGTTTAGTCGTTCTCATCAAGATGATTAATAAAAAATAACAGTATATTATCACAGTACAACACAATGTCAGCTCTCCGTTAAAACAAATAATGGACTTGTGCGTTTCTTATCAGCACACTCGTATTTCAGTGCATCTGCTGCAACTATTCACGTAAGTGATCAATGATATTTCAGCACATTCGATTTAAAGTTAAAAATTGTTATCAAATGTTGTTTGTTAATGGTGTAAATTACCATGGCAACAACTCCGTCCATTCCTGTATCTTTATAACATGTACCAAGTTAGAATGCACAAGTCATTATCAAAGAGGAAACGACAAGCGCTTAAACTTTTATTGCACGTTAGTGAAGCTTCTTGAACACAGTTTTACATATATAATGTTTCAAACACAACGATCATTCTATAGCATATCATATTTGTCTAGGGATATACAAGCTAAAAAACGAAAACAAAGCAGTAAAATATGCTTTTACATGTAATATTGTGCTGGTACTTGTCCATGTTAACTATGAAATGTATTTTACAGAATCGTATTCCCGTAATTATTCTATGGTACATATTACTTCATTCTTGTAGCTAGTGTTGAAAAGCTGATTACTAAGCAGGTAACAAATTTACATAAGTGTCACGACACTTGTTTTTGTTTCCTTTTCTGTTTTATAAAACATGTATTTCGATGTATTGTCAAACAAAATTTGAATAAAACAAAGTTTAAACCAACTATGAAATAAATATTAACATTGAGATTATCTACGTAATTAAATCGTCCTTCTATTATTACATTTCAGTAACAAAATGCGTTTCGAAGAATATTTGTAAATGTTATAAAAGTTTTTTCAATCGAGTTAATCAATCGAGTTAATTTATTCATATTCATTAACAGTAATTTTAGTGAAACACATACAATTTACTTTTGCTGTATTGTGACTTATTGTACAAAAAAAATTGCAAAACTTATCCGGAACTTATTCGCGAGATTTTTACTCCGAATCACCGGTAGCGTAGTTCACAAAAAGGAGTTTAATGAAATTGATGTACTTTATTTTGGTTCCTTTCTCTATCCGTTAAAAATATTTCATTTAATACATAAATATCTATTCAAAGCATTGCCGATTCCATAAATCGTTATAAAACTTGAAGACTTCTACTATGTAATTTACATTTTTCTGTTTGCTTTAAAAGTGCAAATTATTCACGATGCTTTTGATTTAGTGAAATGCTATACTGAATTGATTGAGTATTAATTAACTAATTTTGGTGGAAGAGTTCATTCATCAGATGCTAATTAATTAACTTATCATTAAAAACCCATCTTGAACTTTTCATGACCGTGTCAACTGACTAAATTAAGACTATACTTGTAGACTATATCAATAATACACACAAATACACGAGAACGTAATATTACCGTTCAAACTCAAAAAATAAAATATATTCATAATGTGTAAATAAAAGTTTTTGCTTGAAATGCAGCCGTTTACAATTTGATTTAGGAATAATTATCAAAATTCCATTATCATGTCGAGATATTGTTCATGTTTAAAAGACATATTTTCCCTGCCATTCTACACCTACTATAATTATCAAACATATTAAGTGAAGCAATACTTACACGTAAGTAAAAAATATAGTAGAACTCTGTTCTGGCAACTGAGGTATGGTTCCTATAATGTTTCTTACATATATATACATACAAAGTACCTACCATTAAATATTGACTTTCACACACGGTCAATTCCTGTACACCGTCATACACACTACAGTAAAGGTAATTTTGACACTGCCTCCATAAACCTGACACCTGCTATTTGATACAATAATAATACAATGTATACAATAATAGTACACGTATATAAAACTACAACTAGAACTTAAACATGTTGTCGACGAAACGTGTGAAGCTATTGCTAATGGAACGATACGTGTATACTTAAATTATATTGATATAGGTTATACAAAACAATATCAAAATTTTATATATTAAATAGTTATTCCTTGGAGGTCATGTTATGACTGTGACGTAATATTTTATGTTTACACAGTAAAGAAATAAAATAACTAACTGAGGAACATTCGGAAAATACACCAATCAACGGCAAATATCAGAGCTCTGAATTAAAACTCGGTTAACAATAATTATTAAATTAACGAAACTATAAACTAACCACTAAACAGATTTTTTTTTTTTTTTACTAAATCAACAAAAATTGACATGATATCCATGAACAAAATGTCTGAATTAGTTGTACCATACATGGACAAAATGCCTAAATTGAGTCGTACCTGAATTAAAATCCTATTATTAAAAACTTATACACCTAAAATTCATCTAATTTCACTAAATTACCCTGATTGACATCAATGTAGGGGGAAATCCTTTTAATACCGGTATTTTTCCACGTTGTCACTTCGTCTTTCGAACTCAAACGGAGACTAGTCCGACGACCATCAATGCTGACTAGATCTAGGGCGACCGTAAAACTGACTAGACTTATGGAGGTCTCGGTGTAACTGGTCGCCTACCCTTGATTCTGTAGTTAGTATAGACATTATACAGGCCGTCATCACGCAGATCCCCAGGGGCCAGATTCACTCTCCTCCGCCCCCAAACGCCTAGTAAGAAAGTCTCGATACCTCGTTCATTTGTCCCTCGTACGATACGAAACAGGCCATTTTCTCCCCATTCGGTACCCCAAGAATTTATACACAGCTGAAAATTAGCATAGACATCGAAAAATGTGGTCAAAAGTAACACATTCTTGTATCCACGGTTATAAATGAAAGTGGCATGTCAGACAATGTGCAAACATGTAAATATTCAAGAAGATCAAGCTTAGAAAAGAATCAAAGAGTGACAACCAAGGTGATCAAGCTACTATATATTTTGAACAACAAGCGCATACGGACATCCAGGGCGGACAAGTGGAAAGAGACTCGGTAAAACAACGTGCAGTGGGCATGCGTACAGGAACGAGAATTAACGAGACTGTAATGGAGAAGTATCCACAACAGGCAATAGGGTGTATCTAAACGAAAAAGTAGGAATTGTATCTAAAGCAGACAAATAGTTATTCTAATACAGGCAAAATAGTGTTCTTCTACGTACACCAGTCAAACGGCATCACCTCATCAGGTAAGGGATAGTTCTACTCCAGGCAAGAAAATGGGTATTCTACACCAGGCAAAGGGAAGTCATCAATTCAGATAAGGGATGTTTCTAATCGAGGCAAATAAAGGATGATCTGTATCAGGCAAAGAGATGTCTCTACTTCATCAAGGCAAGAAAAGGAGACAACTACTACACAATTTACAGTGATACCAAGCTGTTATAACACTCCCGGAGCGATTTGTATATGCATTTTATGGTTATACCATGCATTATAATACTGTAGATGCAAACTTACTTGATTGATCTCGACAGAAAAAAATATATTGATACAACAAGCGAGGTTCATGCGTCGTCTAATTTAGTCATTTTTTGAACGATTTATTTTCATATTTCTCCTGCAAGGAATCGTTCAAGTTATTCGTGCATGCTGATGTTCATTCGATATCAACATAACGGCATCTACTCTAGTTCATGATTACTTCACACATATCTGATAACATTACATACCAGAGTTGCTTATGTATTGAAGTTTGAACCACTTTTGTCGTGTCAATGCTGTTAGGTAAAATACGAGGTGTTGATAGTATTAATGTATATTGTTGTAAACCAATTATAGAGCAATGAGAAAAAAAGTCAGCTATCATACGTAATTGTGATGGACACGATTTCTACTGTACGATTAATTTCAAACGTCAAATCGTCCCTAAAGAAACAAAACGCCTATGGAGAGAAAACACGTTACAATTGCTGACACTTTGAGCATGCTATTATGTCAATAATTAAGATATGAATTAAGTAGTCCTGCATATTTGTTTTTAATTAACGTCAGCTTTTATCAAGTTAAGACGTCATCAGTCAAGACGACATGAACAATACTATTTATTTACCTGGGAATTACACTTTATAATAATTAACAGTTCAAAGTTTCGTTAATGCATACTTCATTCTGAAAGGAGGCATCTGTTGTAATCAACATAATTGGAAATACCATGCTGTTGACAAAAGTTTAAGCAAAAGCATCACGAACACCTTTCGACTTATTTCAGCTGTTGCATTTTAGCTACTTCATTATTAGTTCCAAAAGAAAACGTAAGGTAAGCATTTATATACTATTTTCGACATATTTGCTATGTCATAATATGCGAGGTCAGAGAATAAACTCTATGTTCAATCTTATAATAGAAAAATACACATCTAGGAATAAATGAATAATACAAAAAAACGCTATTGTTTCAATAAGCATGCGTAGATTATAGTGAACAATGACAATACATTTATAAGTTTACTTAGTATCACACTTGTATACAAACTAGATAATATATGTTTTTCACAAATAGCTACTTAAAATCCTGTATTTAATAGTTTATGTGTAAAGATATTAAACATTTTGTATGTGCAGTAGATACTAAATATGTTTATATTTATCTTACATACTATTTTAAATCGAACAGTAGATAATATATGTAGATGCTATATTTGTTACTATGCACAGTCGATATTTAAAATGTTTGTATGTGCCTATCTATAGATGAAGCGCTGTACATTTAATTTGGACATGAGCGCTACTACAAGAAAAGGTAGACATCACAACAAGTCGTGTGAGTACATTCATCACACTTTAAGGTCAGGTTTTTTTTTTATAAAAAAGTAGTTGTACATATGTCGTACCTATCCAATAGGAGGTTAATATGCCGTTTTCGTAGTAGTATAGTACAATCAGAATATCTTGATACAACGTATTGTACAAGACAATAAATCAGATGTTAATCCTTCATTGTCAACAAAATGTAAACATGAGCTCGATCCGCTTGGTTAGCGTCCCATCCACTTCACAACAACACATCTTCCGTTCTTGCATCGCCGTCGCTTATTCCTCAATACAGAAATCGGTCCTGCTGACCGAAGATCTGACGGGGTTTGCGAAATGCCCTCGTTTTGTTCGCTTGGACCTGGTTGGTTTATATATTCATTGGCACGCGCATCAGAATGAACAACTCGTTCAACTCCAGGACCACTCCAGCATGACGCAATAATAATATCTTCCAATGAGCATTCATTGACCCCGCGCCTGACCCGGAAGTAACCTTTTTCGCCCCAATGATGTCCCCACGAGTTTGCACATAGCTGAAACCACCCATAAATTGAACAAGTAAATTCGACCACAATAGTATATTTTAGAATTATCGTGTGTTACATGTAGCACCGTCACCAGCTATTATATTACCAGCTTTGTCTAAATGTATGCGTGAATAGCACAGTTGGTGTAGATTGAACCAACTTGGACACTGCTACGTCATCGTATCCAAATAACACAGTAAAATATGAAACTGACATTGGAAATACAAATGCTTTACAATGTTTATTGAAACTTTCTACAAACACTTTCCTTTAGAGTCATTGATATAAAATACAGTTTTCTGTTGCTGCTGCAGCGAGAATCGAGCAAACAGAATGTACTGATTAAGTGTGTTTAGTAAGTAAAAGGTGAATATTCCTCAATTTAATTTCGGACTACATCCATAAGAAGTATACAATGTGTTAAATACGGCTATTAATTCAAACAAAATATTGTAAACGTGACGTGCTTGTTTTCATTTATTTCCCATTTTGCAGTGCAGTATCAATCACGATTCTCAGTATCATGTATGCATCAACATGCTATTGCTCCAACGTGTAGCATGTCAGCATGCAGTGGCATAGTATCGGCATAACCTCGGCATATATAAAAACACGCTACAGTGCATTCGGCTTTAATATATATAGCTGTCGATAAAGTTGCAATGACGATCCAAAGGTTTAAAGCATACGTAACGAAGCTGTGAAGTACCATTTCGGGATGAATGTTCACTATCAGACCCTTCTATTCTATTTCGTCGGGGTTTTACAGACACAGACATCTGGGATATATCTGTACACTCCAAACGAGAGATAAACGTCTCGAGCCGTGTATTTATATCTAACGAAATAAGCAACGCGATAACATTGGAAAGCGGATGTGCAATGTATGCGCATTTCATCAACATGATGCACCAAATCAGTTCCAGGTCCTAGATAGCAGACAGTTTTATTTGAAGTATTCATTATCACATGGGATCCCGTGCACTACATGGTCTGTCTACACAATTGTAAAGCAGAGGTACCTGGTGCATGCGTATGTGGAATTGAAATCTAGCGAAGCATTTAGCATAGTATATTCATGAAAGCATTTAGCATAGTATATTCATGAAAGCATTTAGCATAGTATATTCATGAAAGCATTTAGCAAAGCAAAGCAAGGCAACATTCCAGGTATTTACAAAGACATAGAGTGAACAGGTACAGTAAGCGTGCACAATCAAATATATATCAACACTCAGTATACACTTTATAGGTCAGGTTTTCATTATACGCATCACCTTAAAGCATTAATTGTTTATGAAATGTTTGTTGCTATAAGTAAGCAAAAGCATCAGTACATATGTTAAGCTAGGTTATGCTTGAAATGTACATAAAACATATGAAATGCATGTATAACATCCTAGTTTACAAACGATCAAGTTAGAATAAATCAATTTGTGTATTTTAACAGTATCATTTTTTCTATCGGTTAATAATCGTAGATTACATCGGCACGTATTGGTAATTTACAAAAATATCAAAAAAAAGAGTTGTCTTTACCAGTGATGCTCATTGTTTTATCAAACACATTTGGCATTTTATTTCCAAGAAGATGAGATGATAAAAGTTTGGCTAAAAATGAGTACTTACCCAATACTTGGTGGTTGTGTTGCTGGAATTGTTTGTTTCCACACCCCAGCTGTAGGAAGGGACATAGGATCGGATTAACATTCATCAATAGTTTAGATTTAATATGTGATAACAGTAGTCAACAAATTGAAAATCAAAATCAATACGATTTATACAAAACAACAGTCACCAGTATACACAAAATCCAACAGCAAGTACTGTCTATATAAACAAGTCAGTACGATTTATATAAAGCAACAGTCAATCTCTTTATAAACCAACAGTTAGTACTATTTTAACAAAACAACAGTCAACATCATATACAAAACAACAGTCAACATCATATACAAAACTAACAGTCAACATTATATACAAAACAATCAACATTATATACAAAACAACAGTCATCATTATATACAAAACTAACAGTCAACATTATATACAAAAAAGTCAACATCATATACAAAACAACAGTCAACATTATATACAAAACAGTCAACATCATATACAAAACTAACAGTCAACATTATATACAAAACTAACAGTCAACATTATATACAAAACAGTCAACATCATATACAAAACACCACTCAACATTGTATACAAAAACAACAGTCAAGATCATATACAAAACGATATTCAACATTATATACAAACAAACAGTCAACATTATATACAAACAAACAGTCAACATTATATACAAAACAACAGTAAACATTATAAACAAAACAACAGTCAACATCATATACAAAACACCACTCAACACTGTATACAAAAACAACAGTCAAGATCATATCCAAAACGATATTCAACATTATATACAAAACAACAGGAAACATTATAAACAAAACAACAGTCAACTTTATAATAAAACAACAGTCAATATTAAAACAAAACGACACTCAACATTATATACAAATACTCAACATATTATACAAACACTCAACATTATATACAAACACTCAACATTATATACAAACACTCAATTATATTAGCATCGCTGAAACTACAGTACAGCAGCGACAGTCAAACACCAATCGTAAATAAGAAATATAACAAAAAAAACAAAACGAAAGTAAGTATTACATACAAACGTAGATACGACACAACCAAAAATCGCCGAATTGGCCTAATGAACAATAACAAGTCGTACATTAGTTCTTATATATGTGCAGTGGGATTGAAATATTCAAGTGAAAGCTACGTCTACATGCTAAAGTCTTAAGAGATTAAATAAAACAATCTGCTGTTGATGTTTTTTCTTCTTCAAACACATGCATAACCTTCAACAAGGTTATAAAACCAGCTTTAAATAAAAGTCCTCTGAAGATCAATAGGCGGTCTATGGTGATATGCTACTACATGTGTTGTGTATAGCCCTTTAAACACAGTCGCTTGAAGTGTCATTTGTAAATTATAATAGTCTGGCCGGGCGCAACAATTAACCTATATAAACTCTTTTTAAATGATTTGCAAACTAAAAATTAACCAAAGGAATTACGAACAAGGAAAGGGTTGATGATAAAAGTTGTTGGTTAGTTAAGGCGTTGTGACTTACCCTATTATCCGGACAGAGTGATAACCCCTGTCATCGTCGTCCGGAAGTAAGTCCGGAACAGTGTTAGAATACTGGTATACTCCGGACTTGTAAATAAAGAAATCCTCCTTTACTTTCATTATAGCTGTAATAAACAAAGAATATTTATTGTTTCGTCTGCTTAGTTTTATCAAATTTATGATCATCTGCTTAAAACACAAAAAATGTTTAATGATAAAATTGGATTAAGATGAATTTCTAAATGATAAATAGGCAACATCAGAAGTACGACCTACAGGAAAACAGTACGCACAATCCATTATATTACATACATGCATGGCTGAATAGTGTTATGCCATCAGAATTTTGTTTACGTCCCTGTCTAGACAGAGGTAACTCTATGATATCAGATGATTTGTCCTACCTTGTACTGGGCCGTTCTTGTATATCTCGTTCATTATGTCCTTCTCCTGAAATTAAATAATTAGGCATTATGCATTATCAATTGTTTAACCGTAATTTCTGTATAGTGAAATAAATAACCTTTACCTTTGCTGTTGCTGGTAATACTTTTAGAGTGTAAACCCTCGTACGTCAACTTTGCTGTTGCTGGTAATACGTTTAGAGTGTAAACCCTCGTACGTTAACATTGCTGTTGCTGGTAATACTTTAAGAGTATAAACCCCCGTACGTTACCTTTCGTGTTTCCTCTTTAGCAGATTTGTTACAATGACAAACAGAAGCAATGCGTCGTCGGGGGTTATATTTATATATAAATTATATAAAAACTGGTCTAACCAGCAACACTTATTGTATACAGTTACAGAATGGGTAATTCGGGAAATAGCAAATTCATCGTAAGTCCGGGTGTCAGTGTTAGTCGGGATGTCAGTGTAAGTCCGGGTGACAGTGTTAGTCGGGGTGTCACTGTAAGTCTGGTGTCAGTGTTAGTCGGGATGTCAGTGTAAGTCCGGTTGACAGTGTTAGTCGGGGTGTCAGTGTTAGTCCGGGTGTCAGTGTAAGTCCGGGTGACAGTGTTAGTCGGGGAGTCAGTGTTAGTCGGGGTGTCAGTGTTAGTCGGGGTGTCAGTGTAAGTCGGTGTGTCAGTGTAAGTCGGGGTGTCAGTGTAAGTCGGGTGTCAGTGTCAGTCGGGTGTCAGTGTAAGTCGGGTGTCAGTGTATGTCGGGGTGTCAGTGTTAGTCCGGGTGACAGTGTAAGTCCGAGTGCCAGTGTAAGTCGGGTGTCAGTGTTAGTCGGGGTGTCCGTGTAAGTCGGGTGTCAGTGTTAGTCGGGTGTCAGTGTTAGTCTGGTGTCAGTGTTAGTCGGGGGGTCAGTGTAAGTCCGGGTGACAGTGTTAGTCGGGGTGTCAGTGTAAGTCGGTGTGTCAGTGTAAGTCGGGGTGTGAGTGTAAGTCGGGTTCAGTGTTAGTCGGGGTGTCAGTGTAAGTCGGGGTGTCAGTGTAAGTCTGGTGTCAGAGTAAGTCTGGTGTCAGTGTTAATCGGCCGGGTGACAGTGATAGTCGGGTTGTCAGTGTAAGTCGGGTGTCAGTGTTAGTCTGGGTGTCAATGTAAGTCGGGGTGTCTCAGTGTAAGTCGGGGGGTCAGTGTAAGTCGGGGGTCAGTGTTAGTCGGGGTGTCAGTGTAAGTCGCGTGTCAGTGTTAGTCGGGGTGTCAGTGTATGTCGGGGTGTCAGTGTAAGTCCAGGTGACAGTGTAAGTCCGGGTGACAGTGTAAGTCGGTGTGTCAGTGTAAGCCGGGGTGTCAGTGTAAGTCGGGTGTCAGTGTTAGTCAGGTGTCAGTGTTAGTCTGCTGTCAGTGTTAGTCGGGGTGTCAGTGTAAGTCGGGGTGTCAGTGTAAGTCTGGTGTCAGAGTAAGTCTGGTGTCAGTGTTAATCGGCCGGGTGACAGTGATAATCGGGTTGTCAGTGTAAGTCGGGTGTCAGTGTTAGTCGGTGTGTCAGTGTAAGTCCGGGTGACAGTGTTAGTCGGGGTGTCAGTGTTAGTCCGGGTGACAGTGTAAGTCCGGGTGACAGTGTTAGTCGGGGTGTCACTGTAAGTCTGGTGTCAGTGTTAGTCGGGATGTCAGTGTAAGTCCAGGTGACAGTGTAAGTCCGGGTGACAGTGTAAGTCGGGGTGTCAGTGTAAGTCGGGTTCAGTGTTAGTCGGGGTGTCAGTGTAAGTCAGGGCTCAGTGTTAGTCGGGGTGTCAGTGTAAATCGGGTGTCAGTGTTAGTCGGGGTGTCAGTGTATGTCGGGGTGTCAGTGTAAGTCCGGGTGACAGTGTAAGTCCGGGTGACAGTGTTAGTCGGGGTGTCACTGTAAGTCAGGTGTCAGTGTTAGTCGGGATGTCAGTGTAAGTCCTGGTGACAGTGTAAGTCCGGGTGACAGTGTAAGGCGGTGTGTCAGTGTAAGTCGGGGTGTCAGTGTAAGTCTGGTGTCAGTGTTAATCGGCCGGGTGACAGTGATAATCGGGTTGTCAGTGTAAGTCGGGTGTCAGTGTTAGTCTGGGTGTCAATGTAAGTCGGGGTGTCAGTGTAAGACTGGTGTCCGCCCGGGGGCCCGTGGCCACCACACTTACGTCACTAGATATCCGGTACGGTGGGGTCGAGTAGAGGATCCGTCCCGTACTGTTCGCCTGTCCGTTAGGACAGGGTGCTGTGTTTGCGTTCTTTTTGGTCTTCAGCATACACATGCCAGCCTCGCTATCGCTGCCACTGACATACGGGTAACAACCATCGGACACTATCCTGGAACAAAAGTTAGAATTAGGAAACTATAAATCACGTTGTGTAATTTTTATTCTTTATTTTTTTTAAATTTCAGATTCTTTATTAGCCGAGAGCCATAAGACTCATAGGCGCAACAGTAATACAAGTACATATAACATACAAATATACAAGTCTGAATTACGATATATTTCTCTGTGGAGAAGAAACTATATATGTTGATTGAGGTTCACGCATATTTCAAATATTAATTAGAATCCAGTCTACTCGTAAAAGAGTGTTAGTGTGAAACTCACAAAGCTACCTCGGAACAATATCGGCTCGTTAGCTCTTTACGAAACGTAGTAATTTATTGAATATTTTCATATTTAGTTACCAACGTACAAATTGGTCAAAACACGTACTGGCATATGTTTTGTCGAGACAAAACATCTTATTGATCATATGATAAGTAAGAGTAAATATTCACCCTTTCTTGCGAAGAAACCACCAAGCTTTATCAAGATATCCGCCTTCACAACCAAGCTGCCCTCTGGCGGTATTACAAGATAATAGATGCTGAGGAGATAACTCATCATGAAGAATTCCGTCAGATTCTATAGACAATCGGTCAGCAGCCGTCGCTAAAACAACCAGCATAGAATCAGTTCTCGATACAAAGTTCTAGACACAGTTTGGTAATGGCTGTTCCTCACCGGTCTATCACTGGCAACATGAACAGGAGGTGTAGGGGATACGTCGTCGACAACTACAATACGATCTATATACTGTATTTGTGTTACCACGCAACATAACACTATCGATCAGATTATGTTGAAATTTAAGATAAAACACATAATTCAGCATGTTGATCATTTTAGTATTTTCTTTTGTTTCTTACTTTGTTTATTTGTTTGAGCAGTTATGGTCATTTAAGGATGTACCAGGTTTTGGTGGTAGAGGAAAGTCGGAGTTCACGGAGAAAAACCACCGACCAGTACCTGGCGACTGCCCCACGTAGGTCTCGAACCCGCGACCCTTTGGTGGAGGGCTAGTGGTAGCAGAATGTCAGACGCCTAAACCACTTGGCCATCGCGGCCCTCTTGCTTCTTACAAATCAAAATAGTTTTCCTTGTTACAACTTAACGAATTCATGTCTCACCTACTGTTGAAAACGCCCAAGAAGCTCCGCAGTTGCCTTGGTCACGAACTGGATGTATCCTACCTTGCCAGCGCTCTCGTGAATCAAATTCATCCGGAAGGTCAGGGTCAATCTGGACTCTAACAGGTTTCATCTTCCTGACAGCCATGTCCGGCGGGATGGTTCCAAGCCTGTACCGTACTCCCTCGTCAAGTGTCATGCCCCAGAAAGCCGAGTAGTTATCAGCACGCCACCTATCGGAGAAGATCAAAACAACACACATCAACCTAACCATAGATCAAAACAACACACATCAACCTAACCATAGACAGCACTCTTATGTTATGAAAGAAAAAAAGGCAAAATAAAAAACAGCACTTGAAATAACACAAGACATGTAGACTCATTGTCAAGAGAATGAAATACGAAAGATTTAAGTATGTATTAAAACATAGTATAAAACATAGTTGATATACCATATTGCCATTCGTTCATATTATGTTGGCCCTATTCTTGCTTGCATCACGACTATGTTCGGTTGTGATAGAAATGATATGAAATGTTTAGCTTATCTCAATTCCACGTCACAGACACAGGGTTTTGTTAACTTATTTAAGCGCATTATCGAATTTTATCAGTTAGGCGCATTGATGAATTGGCGCACCCATAAAAAATGTAATGAAGAACATTATACTGGCACTTCAATTGGCGCATTCTTAATTCAGCGCAAAATCTAAAGCGCGAAATGCGCTAAGATAAGACTACCGCAAAAATATGTATATTTACAGTATCCCTATCATCTAGTGTAACTTAACAAGGTAGGTATTTTGTTGTCCTTAGCAAAAAACAGCAGCTTGGTTTATGTGTTCAAATATTAACTCCACACAGCGGAAAGGCGTCAATCTCAAAAAACACGCGACAGTTTGTGGTTGTGGCTTACCCACTGTCATGGCTGTTGACTTGGCCAATCATTTTGGTTTGTATAAGACACACATGTTTGGTACAGTTCCATCTCTGCTGGTCTGGAAATGTTGGGTCCACGATACAAGTACTGGAAATAAACACACCGTTGTCATGGTAACAGTTTCGCAAATACACTCACGATTTAAGGTTCAACAAGCCTCCTGAATGATGATTTACTCATCCATCAAGAGACAAAAAATTAAAACCAATATTTCATTTATTGAATGTGTTTTCGTGCTATCCCCATATTCATAGTCCGTTCCAAATGTTAGCCCCTGATCAATAATATTCAAAAGTCCCAATTAGAAATCGAAACTTATATCGGTAATTTGAATATATTGAACTTGTACATTAGCTTATACTATACATGTAGTACATAGCCAAGTTATCATAGTCAATTATAAGGCATTAAAGCTGATCTCTTCATAAAAATAGTTCCCTGAACTTATAAAATGTCAATCTCTTTTGCGATCCAAATGAATGCTACGATTATCTGAAATTATTAGTTTATATATTTAGGTGTTGTTATAAATGACATGTCATAAGTCCAGTGAACTATTTTTACTTACGGGCATAAACAGATAGAACTATGACCTATACATTGTTACACGTGCCCGAATACCTACCAAGTATTACAGTTGTCTGTGAGGACAAAGTTGGTGGGATATTCCTGACCAGCCCGCTGACATCCACCTGTGGGATATACCATAATCAATTACTTACCCAAAACTTTGGCTAAGCCCGACATAAACAATAGAAATATAGCACAAATACAGCATTTTTCGATAACGTACGAGTATACCCAAACTAAGGTTTGGCTTTGGTTTCACTATGTTAATCGTCCTATGTACAGTTAAGGTATCCAGTTGGATGAAAGATTCAGAGAAAGAGATTCGATCAGTGATGCCGACTTTATAGTGTTACTTTACAGAAATATCATACCGAAGGCACCCAGCACAATATTCCACACAAACTATAAGTCTTTATTTGAAAAGAGCTGGAAAACTAAGGGTTCTCCACAGGAATACGTCAAAAGTAAAGAACGATTCAAGATAGTCAACGTGTGATGGTGTCAGATTCTGACAGCACCATCGTCAGTCTGTCAAACGACCTTTCGACGGGCTTTCGATTGTGACATCAAAATGTACCGTCGTCATCTGATTGTGACTTCATTAAGACGAAATCGAGACGATACGACCACAGCCGGAGAGGGAATTAAGATTATAAAGTTGCAAAATACTAGGCTTAACAACTTCAGAATCACCCCGCGAGTGCTGTGATTCCCGGTCTCGGATTTAGTATTATTCTCTAAAATGAAACCAGCCAGTGTGTGTATTTAGATAATACGCGTCCGGTTGAAGATACGTTTCAATTTGTATGTGTTTTGCATCATATTTTATGAATGATTAATGGATAAAATTATTTCAAAGTAATATTTTTTTACACTTGTAAATAATGATAATAAAAGTAACTGGCTGTCAATCTTCTAAAAGAGACAGATACAGATGAGACGAGGGCGGAGGAGGACGACACCTGTCATACTCTAGTACCTCTCCTTTGTCATATGTGACGAAAAACACATCAGTTAGACGACATTCCTGAGAGACACACGTAAAGTGTTCTGTATGAAATATATGCAACGTGTTTTTCCCATAGGTTGTCTCGAGGATAAGACTGTTTCCTTTTTAGATGTATGATAATTACAGATCGCATAAATTATGTCAGCTTCGTGAAGCCTAAATGTATGATAAAGCATAAACCGTTATGGGGCTATCTGTTGAATATCTAGGCGGTATGGTGTTAACCGTAAGATGTAGGTTAGTTGTCCAGACGTAAACAGATCACTCTCTTAGATAGGCATTGTTGGTCCTAAGCCTGTTACACGTTATGTCTCGCGACCAACACACACAAAATCTAAGTCAACGTATGACAATCGTATTAATCTACATTTTCGAAGGTATAGATGGATCGAGGGGTTGATGGGTAAAGAAATACTAGAGATAATCTTTGTAGGTAATTTGGAGATAGTTTGGTACTAGGGTGTGCATCAAGGATTTAGCATTTAATTCAATCTGTTGAGCTCTTTATCGAAAAATGTTGCCATTTGCACCCCACAGGAAGAGACAAATGTCTACAAAATTGTTTACTAGAAATGTAAAGGTAATTTACCTGATATTGGGACAGGGGACAGCAGATGAGCAAACCTGAACCGCTGTATATGTGGGAACGAATATATGTCCTTGACGTAGTTAAAATATAAAGTAGCTATACGGCTATTGTAACGTGTCAGATACGAGACCTATTTCATAATGAATCCGTTGAAGTGTGATATCAAATCGGTGGACTGAGGAAGGTTCTGGCAAATTTAATGGATCAGGAAATGTCTGCCTAAGGGTCATGAATATTATTTCTGAATTATTAACTCAAATATTACAATGAAATACATTTTTTAAAAGATTTTTTCTCGATTCTGATTATGATACACGCTGATTTTTACTATGAACTATAAATCAATATCATACAAGCTTCTTCGTACAACATATCTGTAAAAAGTAAACATGCTTCTTTGAAATCCGTAAGATAACCATATAGAGTAAATCTTTAATAACTAACATATGTGATTCGTGATTGTTGTATGCCGTTGAATAGATCAATCTACGAGAGGTTATCTTACAATGCTTATATTCAATATTAATGTAATTTCTGTACACATCTCACTTAAAAAACTGTTTTGACGACTTTTGACTGTATCGAAAGGAAAGTCGGCTACTTGTGTAAATAAAATTCATTTATATATACAAGATATTTACCTGTGATTTTGATAACAGTAACACGAGACTATGTCTAGACCGACCAAGTATGCGGAACATCATAAAATAATCCACTGTGAATACTAGGTTAAATATCATAACTTTAAACAGGTATAGTGGTGTTTTTTTTATATATGTAACGTGAAACAGGTATGTTCGGGAGTTAATTCTCAGGAATAATGTAAAAACTTCACTTATATGGTAATACCAATCAATCATTTTCTATATAACCGTCTCTCATCAGAAATCTTCTACAAAATCGTCTCTCATCGGATATCCTCTATATAATCATCTCTCATCAGACACCGTCTATATAATCATCTCTCATCGGACATCCTCTATATAATCATCTCTCATCAGACATCCTCTATATATCCCATCGGACATCCTCTATATAATCATGTCCCATCGGACATCCTCTATACAATCATGTCCCATCGGACATTATTTATATAACCTTTTATTTGTGCATGTTTATCAGGAAGTACATTTCTCTCACATTTCTCACCCGCAAGAAAAGACTGCTCACATGCGCTGCTATTCTGAAATTGTCACTATCGCGTCATCACTTTATGCGGGATTACCAGGGTACGTCATCAATTTTGTTGCACATTTAATGGTGCGGTATATTTGGTTCACTATACATTTTTATTTTCAAAGTAGGAAAGTGAAGAAGAAAAATAATCAATCACTTCTTTGTGAAGCAGGCGGAGAAATCTACACCACCGGGATAAGGTTTTTGAAGCTCAACACTCAGCAAAACCTCGTGCTATAAACTTCTTACTTCTTAAAAAATCTTACCCTCGGTTTGAGATTGCCCTGTGTTCCGTACAGTAGTGAAATATTTGTTAGTTCAAATTGCGGAGGCTACACTATACAACTAGTATAAACGTATACTGTAGGGCTATAGACACTATAGACTCAGATCTGTCGATATTGAAACTGGTATTTTCGAAGATCATTACACGTTTCTTTAAATAGTTCTCTGATAAGAACCGTTAAACGGTTTTGTATGTGTCCTCGTGAATACAAATTCACATGGTTGTCTCTGGTTACATGTAGTAATTATTGTGAGACGTTATACGCTTGGTGTTGAACATTTGTAGATAAGAAATGTTATTTTCATGTGCAACATTGAAAAAAATATCATCATAAAAAGTAGTAATAACACAATATTTCCTGCAAAATGTACTTAAAGTTTGAGATAAGAAACCATTTAATGGAGCTCGGTTTAAGCATGCGAAGATGTGAATATATAACTATTCTCCAGTTTAGTTAGTCACCGAGTAAAAGGAAATAACTTCAACACAAGCCTTGGCAAACTACCATTTAAAATGATTACTTACCAAGTTTATTACACGAAAAGCGTCCTCTCTTCCTCTATATCTTTTTCCTTTATTTACTCCTTCGCTCATGTATGCATCCTATTTGTCACTCTCCATCCCCTGTTTATATATTTCTTCTTCTTCTTCCAATCCTTTCCCTCCTTATATTTCATCCTTTCCCCTCTCTTCATTCCTCCCCTCGTTCGTTTCTTCCTTCCTCTAATCATCTTTCCATCTTCTTTCCATTTTTTCCCTCCTCTATATCTTCACTACTCCTGTACTTCCTTCCCCCAATCATCCTTTCCATCTGCTACCCCCC